AAGAAGGTCTAAAGTTACCTGTGAGTACTGTTACAATTAGAAGATGCCTATGTGAAGCCAAGCTATCTGCAAGAAGCCCCCGCAAAGTCCAACTGTTGAAAAAAAGATGTGCTGAAGAGGTTACAATTTGCCAAAGAGCACATTGACTGGCCTAAAGACAAATGGCGAAACATTTTGTGGACTGATGAAAGTAAGATTGTTCTTTTTGGGTCTAGTGGCCGGAGACAGTTTGTCAGACGACCCCCAAACACTGAATTCAAGCCACAGTATACTGTGAAGACAGTGAAGCATGGTTGCGCAAGCATCATGATATGGGGATGTTTCTCATACTACGGTGTTGGGCCTATTTATCACATACCAGGGATCATGGATCAGTTTGAATACATCAGAATACTTGAAGAGGTCATGCTGTCTTATGCTGAAGAGGAAATGCCCTTGAAATGGGTGTTCCAACAAGACAACGACCCCAAAAACACACCAGTAAATGTGCAACATCTTGGTTCCAGACCAACAAGATTGATGTTCTGGAGTGGCCAGCCCAATCCCCGGATCTTAATCCAATAGAAAACTTGTTGGGTGACATCAAAATGCAAATACTGAGGCAAAACCAAGAAATAGAGAAGAACTGTGGAATGTAGTCCAATCATCCTGGGCTGGAATACCTGTTCACAGGTGCCAGAAGTTGGTTGACTCCATGCAACACAGATGTACAGCAGTTCTCAGAAACAGTGCTTATACAACTAAATATTAAGTGATTCAAAGGAAAGCAAAATCTTCAAACAATTTTCAGTTTATGTAGTGAATGTTTGAGTTTGTAAAGAAGAATACAAACACTGCTATTTTTTTGAACAGTCTAATATTCACTTTTCCTCAATATTTATTTAGAGGAACAACACAAATTTGATATATTTTTCTTCATGTTTTGATTTGGAATAGAATGTGTAGTGTTCCCAATGCATTTGTGTGTATGAAAATAAAAGCTATTAGAAGGATTTTGAGCTTTATTCACTTTTGTCAACACACTGCTATTATTTTGAACGTGTGTGTGTGTGTGTGTCGCACCCGTGCCGCCGTGTAGCACTATATCTGCTTTTACAGCGGCGGGTAAGTAGTTAAGGTGGGACCGAGAAAATTATATATATTTTTGTCTTATTATTATTGTTCTGTTTTAGGCTACTTTTTTTATATGAAGCTTAGTTTGTAAGTTAAAATACCTAGTTTTTAGAAGTATATACTGTATTTGAAGATTAAGTGGTTGTCTTGTGTATATTAGGCCTTGGGAATATTCTGAAATCCCAATATGTTACTATGAAATTTCTTTTTGGTACCAGTTTAAATTTTTCTGATATTTTTTTCACTTCTTTTCTTTTAAATAATAAAATAAGATTAAATCGATAACAACCATATTTTAAAACTTTCAGAATGTAAGCTAAATGAACTAAAATAAAAATATACAACTAAATGTGAAACATAAGAGGTCTAATTTTATATATTCACAAACCCGACCTTGGTAAAGCACAACCAAAGCCCCTTCCGAAAGTGTACAAACACTTCACTAATCTATTGGACAACAACAAAGACATACAGTGGTGTTCAAAATAATAGCAGTCCAACATCACTAACCAAATCAATCACAGTTTTTGGTATAAACTATATTTCTATATGGCATAGTTTACTAGTAGCTGTAGTAATAGAAATCCAACAGACCCAACAGGCATCACATGCATGCTGCTGATTGTAACTGAATCATTAATTGAAAGGGGCATGTTCAAAATAATAGCAGTGTGGAGTTCTATTAGTGAGGTCATTCATTCTTTGAAAAACAGGTGGCAATTATTGCCCCTATTTAACCTCCCTAGCGGTATTCCCGAGTGTAGCTCGGGGTAGAGTTTCAGTACCAAAAGCGGTAACCCCGAGCTACACTCTGGCTTACCATGCAGCGTTGCACAGGGATTCCCTGCAGCGCTTACCTTGTCCTTCGCTCCCGCGATGCGTCCCCTGCAGCGTCCCCGGCCATCTCCTCTGGCCGATGCCGGCATCCGGCTTCCGTGTTCCGGTCCGTGACGTCGGGACATACGGGCGCCGGTTCCGGCGGCAAATTTGAACATTTTAAAAAATGAAATTTTTTTAAAAACGATTATTTCATAGCAAAACATTGCTCTTTCAAAGCCTTTCACATACATTTTGTCCCTACTGCTTTGTCCTATGCCCTGCCTGCATTTTGACTGTTCTCTCTGCCTGGAAACTGAGAAATGTCCATGGCGTCCAAAAAGCGTCCCTTTATGTCAAAAGCAGTTTTAGACCAGCTAGAGAACAGAGATAGTAAATCAGAACCACTTGTAGAATTGAGTGATGATTTGTGGGGAAATTCGTCATCAAACACTGAAAACGATTCTGCGACTTTGCTCAGTGATGTGCGAACTTGGCGCTATATTTCAAATTTCAGTGTTTTTCGTTTGCTTATATTATTGAATTAAATTTATTATTATATTTTTTTTATAAGTAATTATTAAATTATAATTTATGATTTCGTGTTTTCAAGTTTTTATCATATCCGGAATGTTTACTACTCTTGTTCGTACAGATTTCAGTGAGTTATTCCTAAATTACAGGCCTACAATAAAAAAAACTACATATTTCCATGCAAAAAAATGGTACCGCTTTCAGCACCAAAAATCTGAAATAATCATACCGCCAGGGAGGTTAAGGAAGGAAGGCAGCAAATGCTGTATATATGCTGGGTATAGTGCATTTCTCTCTGAAAATCTGAGGAAAATGGGTAGTTCCAGACATTGTTCAGAAGAGCAGCGTACTTTGATTAAAAAGGTGATTGGAGTGGGGAAAACAAAGTATTGCAGAAACTGATAGGCTGCTCAGCTAAAATGATCGCAAATACTTAAAAAAAATGGCAACCAAGACCAGAAAGATGTGGAAAAAATGGAAAACTACCATTCGAATGAATCAAAGAATAGCCAAAATGGCAAAGACTCTGCCAATGATCAGCTCCAGGATGATCAAAGAAGGTCTAAAGCTACCTATGAGTATTGTAATAATTAGAAGACGCCTATAGGAAGCCAAGCTATTGACAAGAAGCCCCCGTGGCGCAAGCATCATGATATGGGGATGTTTCTCATACTATCATGTTGGGCCTATTTATCGCATACCAGGGATCATGGATCAGTTTGAAAAAAATGAAAATACTTGAAGAGGTCATGTTGCCTTATGCCGAAGAGGAAATGCCCTTGAAAAAGACAATGACTGTGAGCAGCATCTTGGTTCCAGACCAACAAGATTAACGTTATGGAGTGGTCAACCCAATGCCAGGACCTTAATCCAATAGAAAACTTGTGGGGTGACAAAAAAAATGCTGTTTCTCAGGTAAAACCAAGAAATGCAGAGGAATTGTGAAATGTAGTGCAATCGTCCTGGGCTGGAATACCTGTTCACAGGTGCCAGAAGTAGGTTGACTCCATGCAACACAGATGTACAGCAGTTCTCACAAACAGTGCTTATACAACTAAATATTAGTTCAGGGAATCACAGGAAAGCTAAATCTTCAAACATTTTTCAATTTCTACAGAAAATGTTTGCGTTTGTAAAGAAAAATGCAGACACTGCTATTTTTTTGAAGAGCCTAATAATGTTTTTCTTCACTTTCTGTAAGGTAGTAACAAATTTGAAACATGTTTCCTAATGTTTTGATTTAAAATAGACTGTGCAGTGTTCCCAATTCATTTGTGTGTATGGAAATAAAAGCTATTATAAGGTTTGTGAGCTTTACTAACTTTATTTAAACACACTGTTATTATTTTTGAACACAACTGTATATTTAAAATCCTCTCAAAAGGTTACCCCAGCTCTTTGGTACTAAAACCAATGAGAGAGCCAAATTCCATCAAGGCAGGTGCAAGATAGAGCAATTTTGGAACACAAGAAACATCCTATAACATGACTCTTACATCTTAATCTTTGTGTACTCTAAAAAGGTACACAGTTAAACACCTAACCCACTCACAATTGATAAGTCAGCGTTTTGGGGAAGACGGTTGTCAAGTTAAAACAAATATCTCTAGAAGACTGATAGTGAGTTCTTGGTACATGAATTCCCATTACCTGCCACAACTATCAGAAGGTCATACTCTTCCTGACAGAGTCTTAACTTACATTATGGAGAATGCAAAAGAAGAAAGCGTAACATCGAGGAAAGTCACAAAACTCAACAGCTAGCAGCCATGACAAGGTAGATCACATGGTTGCAGTCAGTAAGATATATAAAAAGTTAAACCTGAACTCCAGGTTTTATTTAGCTTGAAATAGTTTGTTTGGACCAAGCTGGTCCAAAAAAGTATATCCTTCACTAATAGATGCACTTGCTTTTAGCACTGTACAAACGGTATATAGCATAGCATTGGCTACATACAGTAAACAGTGAGAGATATCTTGTCCCACTCCAAGAACAAAATTGAGTCTGGCTGTTGCTCAGCCATTCACAGGTGATCTTGTACATTTTTGAACGAATAAAAGGTTTCCATGAAGTTCTCCACCTCGGCCAATCAGAGGAAGTCTTGTACTCATTCATAAAATACAAAGCATTCTCTGAATAGCAGAGCAGTGCTCAGCCTGGCTCAATTTTGTTGCAGGAAACAGAAGGGAAGCCTCCATTACTCTGCCAGAAGCAGTGCTATATACAGCTGGTGCTACATAATGTTTATACAGCACATCTGTTCGTGAAGCAAATCGCAAATCATTTGTTTGAACCAGCTTGGTCCAAAGAATCTATTTAAAGCTCAATTAAGTGACTCCAAAATATATATATTTTATATATATATAAAAAACCTTTTTGATGAACAGACTTTTTGGAAGGAGAAATGGGCAGTGAGCTTGTACCTTTGTAAACCTTTATACACCAGTATTAGACAATCTCTCAGAAACAATTTTTTTCCAGAAAATGATTATGCATGTTATGAATATGACACACAGAAAAAATCTTCACTGCTCACCTCTCCTGGGTACGGCCTTTTAATGCCCTGCATGGGCAACGACTGAGGTCTGGGGCCAGGGTAGCTTTGCTGAGGCATCCTTTGGCCATGTGAGCTGAAAGGGTTCATGCCAGGCCGAGGCTGATTCATTCCCATTGGTGGGCCACTCATATTGGAAGGTGCCATGTTGGGACCCATCCCAGCTGGGTTCATACTCCCTGACATAGCAGAGGGCACTCGTGGGCCAGGCTGGTTCATGAACTGACTGTTGTAGGCCTGGGCAGGACCCATCTGGAAAGAGGAACACACCTTCAACAAAAGAAAGAGAAAAGAGTAAAATGCGACATGCATGTCTGACAGAGGTAAGCAGCAAGGGAGGAAAGGTATTGAGGTATGAAAGGGGAGGAGTACAAGGAATGTCGCATTTTTAAAGAGCAAACAACACATTTACGGATGTCAATTAATACTGGCAGTCTGGCACACATCTGCAGAGAACTACAGCAAACATCATGAAATACACATTCATAGATTACTTTGGGTATGTCAACTTTTTATGCTGAAAAAAGTGGAGTTGACTTGAGTAGTTTTTACTAGAAGAGGAATTGAACAAATGGTTCAGCAACACATTTATTCTAATTTTTTTTTTTTTTTTCAAATGAAAGCTACTCAAAAATTAAAATACACATATACACAAATTTTCATAGCCAACATACAGAAGGAAAAAACAGCATAAAACAAACAGCAAAAAAAAAAAACTCACTGGGCCGTATGGTTCATGTCCTTATTCTGAGTTTCCTGCAGCGCTGCCACTGTGGCAGTTGCTGTAGCGGTAGCAGTAGCAGCTGCAGCAGCAACAGCAGCTGCAGCAGCCGCCGCTGCTGGCTGGGTGAAATCTGAAGGTGGTCGCGTATGAGGTGGGATGCCCATTCCAGAAGGGTTATTGGGTCCACCAGGATAGCTGGGAAAAGACAGGTTACTTAAATTTTTTAGGAAAATAAGACACGAAAACAACTAATGTTCCATAAACCAACATTATAAGGCTGAATATATTTCATGTACAAGGCTACACAGTCTATAAAAAAACAGAAAAGGCTGGAAGGAAGTGATCTCATGTTTACAAGTAATCTTCAATATATTAGTGTGTTGTTTTCTAATGACAATTAGGGTAGAGCAACAGACGTTGGTCAGAAAGTTGTCTGATAGCGCATCATTTCAGCAGTACAATCTAAGTTCTTACCTTCCCGCAAATCCTCCTCCCCCCGGATAATTTGGACGTCCGTACATGCTTTGTTGCATATAGGGCTGGTTGGATGCGCCTTTTGTGGGAAATTGCTGTTGTTGCCCAGCAAACTGAGGAGAATTCATGCCAGCACTATTGCTGTTCATGCCAGATGCCATGGGGTTGCCAGCAGGATTCAAAGGATTGTTTGCATTAACCATTGGGTTTCCCAGAACCTAGGAAAAATAAACAAGTGAACATATATTGTTGATACTTGAAATAAAATATACATGGATAAAAGATCAAATCACAATCTAGCCTGAAGTCATAGCAACAACATTAGCGTCTTATAATGTGATTTTGTCAGAAATGTAGCAATATATACACATTGATTGATTTACACTAAAGTTGTAATATTTAACTTCTAACATTTTTTGATACAATATCCTTTGCATTTCTGAACACAGAAACAGAGATAACAGGTGTGACTGGGTCTGTTTTCTAGCAGTGCTGCTGGCATCCCTGTGTTTCATGACCCACTCCTCTATTAACTATTCATGAGAAGGCCATCACCCACAAAGGGCACTATGGTTCCTGATCCCTACCTACTTAACCCAGAACAATTTCTATTTCAAAGTATACTTTTTACATATCACCTTTTAATACAGGAACTAAAGCAAAAACATAAAGCGCTTAAAAAGAAAAATGTTTTCATGTATAGGCATACCTTTAGTCCTAACAGAAATCCTAACCCTAGCCCTGGTTCTCATTCAACCTACAATAAGTCAGGTGATTGACAGTTTGATCAAAACAAAACCAAATTCTGCCACAGGTCGCTGCATGTTTTTCTCTCTGCCTTACTTAACAAGCCTGTATGTACTCTAAACTATTTATTTTTCCCTTTTTGGGAGGCGTTCACAACATAGCTAAAATATACTAGTTTACACAAATATTAAATTCCAACTCCACGCAAAATGTTTTAAACTGTGGATTGAAAGGAATGGATAACCCTCGGTCATGCTTTTACTAATTTCTGTGTCTCAACTAGAGACTTGCCCACTTTCCATTGAAGACAGACAGTAATAAAATCTAGATAGAGTTGTAACCCATCTCTGTCTGATTTTAGAAATGTTCATACTGTGTGTATCTTTCTTGAAGCAATCTGTAAAATGCCCCTAAAGCTTCCCCACTATTTACAAAGTAAAAAAAGCAAGTATTTCCTTATCGGAAGTGGTAAACTTACCTGACTCTGCGATGTGTTTGTGACCCCCCAAACCGTAGTAACCACTGAAAGAGAACCTGGGGGCTGACTTGCGTTTTGTTGCCAAGGGACAGAATCATAAGGGAAAGATCCATCACTGTGAAATAATAGATGAACAATGAAGTACCCTGTCTCCAAAGTGGAAAAACCATTACCTGTCCAAGTTTATGGAAAGTTCCACATTAGTCAAACAAATAAGACAGAGTTCTGAATGTATGTGTAAGCATGTAAGTAGGTTATCAACTATTATTTGAGGTTTTTTTTTTGTCTACAGTTGTCATGCATGCAAAATCACCGAGATATTTAGATGTCTACGTACCTGTGGGACAGGGATGGTTTCATAGAGGTCAAAGAATTCATGGGGGGCTGCATGGGGAGTTTCCCTGGAGGGTCACTTTGTCTGCTCTTCTGGTGACGTAGAAGGAGAAGCCTTCCCAGCTCTTCACACCACGATGAAAGGAGGGCTAGAAAAGGGTAGAGTTATTCTTTAATTTACCATATAAATAAGATTAAAAAGTACATAACAGCCTCTTATATTAGGTTTACTCTTTGAGCTCTAAAACAACAAGTTAAGAAATGCTGTATTAACTGCCCCATATACTTCATTAAATGCAACTTTGGATAGAAGACGTACATAGCAGTGAAGTGCAATAATGTCACTAGTTCCAATTTTTCCTGTCTAATGGAAAAAAGCCAAAGCCAAAGCCAAAATCATATTTCCATCTTGTCCAGTGATAAAGCTGCTACCACAGCACTCTCTGGCATCCCACAGATTTACAGCTAGCATTACAGTGCATTGTGTCATCCATCTTTTTGTGTTTAAAAATAAATAATACAGGAGGGGAATAAAGGGATGGAGAGAAGCTAAGGGCTCAGCATGATACATGTGCCTCTAAAACGTACAGACAAAAAACAGACGGCTAACAGGACCATAGCAGACACTGGGGAGCGCACGCACACGCCTCCGTAGTGTCACACTTGCTGCCTCTTCCCTGCAGGCTGAAAGGCAGCAGCACAGCATACACAGCAACAATGACAATGATGTAGTCTAACAGAAGGGGAGTGGCGTACATTGCTACAGAACAGATATAGAGATCATACTACAGATGTCAATCCCCACCGGCTGCAATTCAAAGACTATGCACGTATTCCACGCTACTCTTTCACTGCCGGCAGAAGGTTGTTTTGCGATCATTTAGGAAGGCAGATCACACAAACCAAAAAAGTGAATATGCATCTATCTAGCTTTTTTTTCTTTATTACGGGGACATTGCATTTATAATGCTCATAGCTACTCTACTTGCTAAATGTCATTAGCATAAAAAGGCATATAGAAGGAATTCTGGATTTTCTACTACCAGACTGGCAAAAAAAATGAATCAAAATGCTATAAATGGTTTACAGGTTTTGCTAAGTGATGATGTATTTATCGCAGAAGCACATCACAAACAATCCACTAGAGGGCATAGTGTCATAGGACTGAAAACCACTTGTGTATAGTTTGCGCACACACCTGGATGTAGGCAATACATGCATTTTACTATTTACAGTTTGCAGACTTACAAAGTTCAAAGTGAGCCCCTGTGGCTAAAATAATCATATCTGTTTTGCCCTCAACACACAAGCAGATTTTTTTTAGCAGTTTAGAAATTGCATAGAAAATAATCATTATGGAGCTGTGAACAGGACAAATGGTGTTAACACGGCTTTTTTTTCAAACAAAAAACAAATACAAAATAGCAGCTATCACTGCCAATCACACAAGCAAACCAAGAAAAACAGCCACAAATACACTAGCAAACCTCCTGGACTCTATACTAAACACTGTTTGGTATCATCCCTCTACAGCAGGGATCTCCAAACTTTACAAAATGAGGGGCCTGTTTACTGTCCTTGAAATAGAAGTAAAACAAATACAAAGTGCCTTTGGTTAATAGGTATTAATGGGAGGAATAGTGTCTCATCATTGGCATTAGGGGGAGGAATAGTGTCTCATCATTGGTATTAGGAGGAGGAATAGTGCCTCATCATTGGTATTAGGGGGAGGAATATTGCCTCATCATTGGTATTAGGGGGAGGAATAGTGCCTCATCATTGGTATTAGGGGGAGGAATAGTGCCTCATCATTGGTATTAGGGGGAGGAATAGTGCCTCATCATTGGTATTAGTGGGAAGAATAGTGCCTCATCATTGGTATTAATGGGAGGAATAGGTTCTCATCATTGGTATTAATAGGAGGAATAGTGCATCATCATTGGTATTAGTGGGAGGAATAGGTTCTCATCAGTGTTGTTCCAGCATTAGTAGGAAAAGTACATGCTTCTAGGGAAAGCAATCCAATCTGTCAGCTGTGTGAACTCTCAGTGCAGGTCTGATGGTTAGGTTGTGCTAACACCAGCAGCTGCGGAAGTGGAATGTGACCGTGTGTAGAAAGCAGGCAAAGCTAAATCATATATGAAAAACTATTGGATTTTCTCTGTCACTAAATAGTCATCATATAAATAAGGTGATGCTGATCAAGGATATACACATGCATACCTCGCAAGGAAACCGTTTTAGTTTGTTTTGTTTTTTAAATTTGATTTCTGTGCCTCAATGTCAATGAATTATGGCTAATGAAATAAAAAAGATAAATTAATGTAATTATATGATTGATAGATGTACGTTTTACAAAAAAAATCTGCCTATACTAATTTCCATTTGTGGGCTTCTTTTTCTGTTTGTAGAAGTATCGTAGCCCCATATAGGACACCCATACATATGCAGGTTTCTGCACACAGACATATCACTGGGTGAACAGTGATCATGATGTTGAATAAATGGGGTTTTATATTCCTGTGTATATTCCGGTACCTACAAATATTACTAGAGCAGGGTTTGTAATACACATGTTGTGATTATGTACAGTCGTAATAACATATAAAATGTGTTTCTTCTTGAAAAGAGATAATTGGGGAAAAAAAAAACAGTTTTTAATGAGTTACAGAGCCTGGAAATACATTAGAGGCTGTCACATGGTACATTATGAACTGTCAAAGCATACATGTATTAAGTTAAATAAAAAACAAATCCTTCCACTCCATCTCTTGGTTATACATAACATTGCTTACAGCTGGTAATTAGCATGTCAGGAATGAGTTAAAGCTGCTTAGTACAAGAGAAAGGTGGGGGGGGTCACACTTCCCATCTCCCCTCCCCCTCCTGCTGTATGCTTACAGAAGCTGACTGCATACTCCAAAGCTTCAAGCTGGGTGGATATACGCGAGAGATGGGTATACAGCCGACTCCTCTCTGTACACCATATGGCTGATTAACTTGTACTGTGGCTGCATGAAACCAAGCCTCTCCTTTACACAGCCACTATAAATAGATGTGGCAAGGGGCAGAAAGAGGCCTCTTATGGGGGCATGCCCCTTACAAAACCTGTTCATTGCATGATGGAAGGACAGCTCTACACCACAGGCTCACTATTATTTTCTGCCTGGACACATATGACTCCATTGTACACTGATCATCAGGGGCCTGTTTCATTAATAACACAGAAAGATCCATAACTTCATTTAATTTACAACTCTAAAAAAAAAAAAATCCATCTAAATGCCTAAATGCCCAACGCTAGTATTCTGGGGGCTAATAGTGGTTAGTGAAGACCATAACCAGCATTTCATTGTCCCCTTTGAACAGCGCTTCTCCTGCTGTCTAATTTAAAGTGTATGTTACCCCATTTCATATTCCTGATTTGTCTGTTGTACCATTTACTTGGGTTAGAAAGTATCCTGTGCTTTTTTCATTGCTTACATTTACTAGGTAAATGCCTAGTGATCCTGCCAGTCCCTATGCCTTCCTATCTCAAACTGACCACACTAGGTATAAAAGATGACATTCATCCCAGCAATGTCAGTTTTAAGGCTGTGCTGGGAGCACAGCCTTTCTGTCCTCCAATGACAAAGACTTGTGCTGAAATACACCCCTGCACAGCTCTTCACTGAGAATATCAATTTACTGCTGTTATTCTGTCTGCAGCTGATACACCCCCTGCAGTCTCCACCTCTTAAAGTCCCTTATGTAGCTGAGAACAAAAGTAATGTGAACATCCACAGAAAAGGAAAAAAAAAATATTTATAATTTTCTCTTTAACCACTTGCCCTCCAGAGGATTTACACCCCTTCCTGACCAGGCCATTTCTTGAAATACGGCGCTGCATTATTTTAACTGACAACTGCACGGTCAAGCAACGCTGTACATAAACAAAATGTGTGTCCTTTTTTTCCCACAAATAGAGCTTTCTTTTGGTGGTATTTGATGACCTCTGTGGTTTTTATTTTTTGCTCTATAAACAAATAGACCAACAATTTAAAAAAAAAAAAAAAAACAATATTTTTGGACTTTTTGCTATAAAACATATCCAGTAAAACTTTTTAAAAAAATCAAATTTCATCATAAATTTTGGCCAAAATGTATTCTGCTACATGTCTAGGCTAAAAAAATCCCAATACATGTAAATTAATTGGTTTACATGAAAGTTATATATACTGGAATTAAAAAAAAAAAACATTTTTAATACTAGTAATGGCGGCGTTCGGCGACTTATAGCAGGACTGCGGCGGGCATTCTGACACTGGGGAGAACTGACTAACTGCCACCGCAATGACACTAATACACTGATCGGTGCTAATAAAAAGCATTGACACTGTACAAATGACACTGGGCAGGAAGGGGTTAACATTTGGGGCAATCAAACGGTTAACTGTGTGCTATTTTGCTGTGTGTGTGTATTTCTCTGCTGTGTAGAGAAATACACAGCAGCCTGCCTGTTACTGCTGGCAGGAGAGAGACCTGTGTTGTTTACACACAGGTCTCTCCCCATCACTGTTTCTCAGTGACCGACGGTGCTGTTGAAGAATCTCCAGCCGGGACCCAGTGATTGACATCTGTAGCCGCCAATGTCACTGCAGGTAGGGCGGCACACGCAGCCCTGCCATCCTGTAGCAGTATTTCTGCTATAGGGCAGCTGGGAAGCGGTTAGTAAATACACACAAACGTTTTTCCTTGCATTTATATTTTAAACAGAATGGGTTGCTTTACAAGGTGAGTGTTCACATATATTTTAACTTATGGTACATAGAGAAAACCAATGTGGGGGTTCCCCAGAAGAGCTACAAACAGCAATAAGAACCCCATCCCTTCCATACGCTATCCAAAATAAAAAAATAAAAGTTTTGATTTTAAAGGGGACATAGAAAAAATATATTTCTGTTGAATAGTTCTAAAGTAGTGGTGCAATACAGAATACAAAATTGGAAAATTACGTACCTCTATATCTGAAGCTTTGTGTGTATGGGTGTAATACATATAATAAAGGGAGGGAGTTACTTTAATATACATTAGGTAGATGTATTTAATGTCAGCCCATGTGTCCGATACAAACAATATAAGGTGACAACAAGTTTTATAATTTTCTTCAT